TAATTTGCTTCCATCTGGTTTATCGAGGTCTGAGCTTCAGCACTTACTGGTGGCCTGGTGTTGTCGAAGGCACCCATAGCAATTTTGAATCCTGCTCCCTCTGCGATCAAGACGTTCTCTTTGGGTATCCTGACATCTTCAAACGTAATGCCTCTGGTGTCAGAGCACCTCTGTCCCATATTCATCTCCTATAAGGACACAAGAGACCAAGAAACGTCACACACTAACATCTGCCATCCTTGATAGATGGAAAATACTTCTATAAAAACTACCTAGCAGGTTTCTGTTCGGTACACATGGGCACTACAAAATGTAGTCCAATTTAAAGAAATGTTCATATCTTTAACGGGGACCAGCAGTTGATCGGTGTTATTCTGTTCAGTTTACCTTCCTCCCGATCTGGATCCCTGGAGTATCTGCATCCACAATGAAACCAGTGAAAGCTTTGCTAGTAGGACATTTGGGATCAGGATTGGTGCGAGCAAGAAGGAAGTACCTGAGAAAACAAATAATTCAGGCTGTAACTAATGACTATTTACAATGAATAATCCAGGCAAAAGCAATCAACTGGACTTTGTTTCCAACTTTGAAGACGTTTCAATTCAATTCAATTTATCTTTATTGTCATTGTCACAAGAACAACGAAATTTCCCACCCAGGAAGCTTTTTCAATTAAAAATGTCAGAAATAGCGTTGAGATCGAGGTTTATCCAATTGCAAGAGATGCTCAACAGGAGATTTTTTTTTTTACTGAATTTAACCCAAGGTAAAACTTTAGCAATTTAGTAGTTCTAGTTAGAAAATATTTACAGACAAAGAAGGGTTTTATCCCAAATACTAAATCTATATTCTTGGTATAGTTTTTAGTTCTGGGCTAAGTTGGTTGTTCTTTCAACAGACTGCTTGTTTTAGAGACAATAAAATCAACTAAAGGGTTACCAAATTAGTTGACAATTATTTTATTGAGCAATTAATTGTGATTTATCAAATATATTGTTTCAGCCTAACAAATAATAATACACATTTTACAACTATTGCAGCCTCCTAACCCCCATGACTCTGATGACAACACACAGGCTTAAATACACACCAGTTAG